CACTGGTGGAGTTTGGGGAAAATAGACCTTGGCATTTGGGAGTTGTAGTTGCTGGGATTTATAGTTCACCTACAATCACAGCAGGAGGAGGGCTTTTGGTGGGAGGATTCATTGTCTGTTTCCAAAAAAGGAAGAGAAGGACAGGCAGAGAGATCTTCAGCCTTCTCTGCCAAATGGGTTCCTAACACCGTCAGAAATATATGTTTTATACTCTTTGATGTTTTTTATTTATATTATGTTTTATGTACTGATTTAGAATCATAGAATCAAAGAGTTGGAAGAGACCTCATGGGCCATCCAGTCCAACCCCCTTCTGCCAAGAAGCAGGAATATTGCATTCAAATCACCCCTGACAGATGGCCATCCAGCCTCTGCTTAAAAGCTTCCAAAGAAGGAGCCTCCACCACACTCCGGGGCAGAGAGTTCCACTGCTGAACGGCTCTCACAGTCAGGAAGTTCTTCCTCATGTTCAGATGGAATCTCCTCTCTTGTAGTTTGAAGCCATTGTTCCATTGCATCCTAGTCTCCAAGGAAGCAGAAAACAAGCTTGCTCCCTCCTCCCTGTGGCTTCCTCTCACATATTTATACATGGCTATCATATCTCCTCTCAGCCTTCTCTTCTTCAGGCTAAACGTGCCCAGCTCCTTAAGCCGCTCCTCATAGGGCTTGTTCTCCAGACCCTTGATCATTTTAGTCGCCCTTGGAAACTGCCTTGAGTTGCTGATTATTTACAAATACAGTAAATAAATAAATAAATAAATACATTTTCTGACGGTCTTTGGCGACCCCTCTGAAACCCTCTCATGATCCCTCCATAGAGGTCCTGACCCCCAGGTTGAGAAACACTGCATTACAGATTGTGTAGGATCTTGGCCAACATTATTCCTCAACCTAAGTCAACTTCAGGTCACGCTCTACACCTGCTGCTGGTTGACTGTTAAATCATGGTGACCGATCACCAGTCGTAGGGTGTGGTTGGTGTACTTTGCACCCTCTCCGTTACAGGAAATAAATACTCAAAGAGCGAGAGTAGAAAATGAATAGTAGAAAAGGAGTGACCTCCAACAAATGCCAAGAGAAAGGTCTCTATCTGCAGGGAGGGTTAGAATTTAACTCGTGACAGGCACGTCCATTGTCCCAACTCGTTCGCCGGGGCAGGAAGTCGCCCACTTAGGACTCGTGACGCAGCATTAGCCCAAAAATATACAGTCTTCCCTGGGATCTGAAGCAGTGCACACACTCACAATGCCTCTCTCTCTTTCCCCCTCCCTCTGGAGTCCACGTTGACAAATTCTTCAACAACTCCTGTGGTTGCAGGGAAGCTGGTTTCATTCTGACTCATCCCTGTTCAAACAGTTTACTGGAAATGGAGGGGAGGGGGGGATTTGTGCAAAGAAATCATGTGATGGCCAGACAAACCACAATGAGCCAAAGGTTCAAAGGAGTCAAAGAAAGGAGAGAGAAAAAATACGTAAGGAGGGGGGAGCACAGACCCATGAAACTCAACAACCCCAACGACAACGGACACCCCATTATTTTGCCTTAATCCCTTTGTGGTGTTTGAGGAAGAAAGGCAACAAGGGAATCAGGGAAACAGAGTAAACAAAGCAGCAAATGGCTCGATAGTATCACAGGGCAACTGCCAAATATTTCCGTTTTTTGCCTGTTTTTTGGCCAGGGAGCAAGCGGCACGGGTGCGTAACTGGCTCCAAGGACAGGTCAGTTTAGGGTGGCTTCGCACGCTACACTGTTCTGCCTTTCGGTGCACGTGGCGCACCGTGCCAACGGATGCAAATCTGCGAGCGTTTCTTCGTGATTGGATGATAAAGAGGCCTTCAAAGCACAGCCAAACGCAGACTTCTTCCATGCCATGTGGTCCCTAGAGTCCAGCAAAGTGTAGCCAAATACGCGTTTCTTCCACGCCACGTGGTCCCCAAGGCTACTACGTCGGCGTTGGATTCCTCAAAGGCGGCGGAAGAACAATCATAACTTTTTGAGGAGGAAGTACGACAGTTGTCTACAGAGGCAGCATCAACGAAGGCCAAATGCTACTTCTTATTATTATTATTATTATTATTATTATTATTTTACTGACACAAAAACACCATATGTCACAGCAAACGAGATCTATATGCTGGATTTTGTATTATATTTATAATTATTATTATTACTATTTTACTGACACAAAAACACAGTATGTCACAGCAAACGAGATCTATATGCTGGATTTTGTATTATTATTATTATTATTATTATTATTATTTTACTGAAACAAAAGCACAGTATGTCACAGCAAATGAGATCTATATGCTGGATTCTATATTATTATTATTATTATTATTGACAGAAAAGCACAGTATGTCACAGCAAATGAGATCTATATGCTGGATTCTGTATTATTATTATTATTATTGACAGAAAAGCACAGTATGTCACAGCAAATGAGATCTATATGCTGGATTTTGTATTATTATTATTATTATTATTATTATTATTATTATTATTATTATTTTACTGACACAAAAACACAGTATGTCACAGCAAACAAGATCTATATGCTTGATTTCGTATCACAAAATCACAAGTTAAACACTGATACGAAAGCACAGTATGTCACAGAAAATGAGATCTATATGCTGGATTCTGTATTATATTTATTATTATTGTTATTATTGTTATTATTATTTTACTGACACAAAAGCACAGTATGTCACAGCAAACGAGATCTATATAATAATAATAATAATAATAATAATAATAATAATAATAATAATAATTATTATTATTATTATTATTATTGCATTGGTTGAACCCTTGTGCCGGCAGGACTGAAGACCGACAGGTTGCAGGTTCGAATCCGGGGAGAGGAGATGAGCTCCCTCTATCAGCTCCAGCTCCTCATGCGGGGACACGAGAGAAGCCTCCCACAAGGATGGTAAAACATCAAAACATCCGGGCAACGTCCCCTGGGCAACATCCTTGCAGACAGCCAATTCTCTCACACCAGAAACAACTTGCAGTTTCTCAAGTCCCTCCTGACACAGAAGAAAACAAACATAATCCTGTTCTGCTCACAAAAATTGAGCATCAACTGAGTTTTGGTGGCAAATTGGGCTTCCAACAAGACTGGGATTTGAGGGCCAAAACCTGAGACCTCCAGGTGACCCCTTCTGATGTCGTAGGAAGAAGGAACTCAGCTGGCAGGTTAAGACACAGGCAGGAAGAGAAAGCGAGTGACACAAAGGGAAGGCGCAGCATACAGGAAGTGATTCAGTACACATGCTAGTTAAGATTGAGCTCCAGGGAATGAATTGATTGCACACTCGTTTCAATAAAAGTTCCTTGGTTTGTGGTCTCTAACTCCTTACCAATAACTAGAACTACATAAAAGGGGAGATTAAGTATCAACCACAGCTGTGCAGAGTACAGACGGCCCTGCAAAATGGTGAGATTGTTATTATTATTATTATTATTATTATTATTATTATTATTATATACTATAATAATAATAATAACCTTTATTTAAGTAATAATAAAATTAATACACTGTTTAAAATTGAGAAATTGGAAAAGCTGATGATTTAAAGATTGAACTGCAAAGACTCTGGCACAAGCCAGTCAAGGTGGTCCCAGTGGTGATCGGCACACTGCGCGCAGTGACTCAAGACCTTGGCCTGAACTTAAACACAATCGGCACTGACAAAATTACCATCCGTCATCTGCAAAAGACCACCCTACTCAGGTCTGTACGCATTATTCGCCAATACATCACACAGTCCTAGACACTTGGGAAGTGTCAGACATGTGATCCAATACAACAGCCAGCAGAGTAATAACAATAATAATAATTCAAAAATACATCACACAGTCCTAGACGCTTGGGTAGTGTCCGACATTTGATTTAATTTAATACTAGCCGTCCCCTGCCACGCGTTGCCGTGGCCCACTCTAGTGGTCATGGGGGTTCTGTGTGGGAGGTTTGGCCCAATTCTATAGTTGGTGGGGTTCAGAATGCTCTTGATTGTAGGTGAACTATAAATCCCAGCAACTACAACTCCCAAATGTCAAGATTCTATTTTCCCCAAACTCCACCAGTGTTCACATTTGGGCATATTGAGTATTAGTGTAGAGTTTGGTCCAGATCCATCATTGTTTGAGTCCACAGTGATCTCTGGATGTAGGTGAACTACAACTCCAAAACCAAAGGACACTGCCCACCAAACCCTTCCAGTATTTTCTGTCGGTCATGGGAGAACTGTGTGCCAAGTTTGGTTCAATTCCATCATTGGTGGAGTTCAGAATGCTCTTTGATTGTAGGTGAACTATAAATCCCAGCAACTACAACTCCCAAATGACAAAATCAATTTTTTTTAGTGAAGGACATACATTGGGTTGTTAGGTGTCTTGTGTCCAAATTTGGTGTCAATTCATCCAGTGGTTTTTGAGTTCTGTTAATCCCACAAACGAACATTACATTTTTATTTATATAGATTTTTAATTTATATTTTCAAAAACCCACGAAACAGCGAGTCTGCTAAAAGTGAACAGCAAAGTAGCGAGGGAACTCTGTACATACATAAGCAGAAACCAAAAAGACAACACACCATCTACAACCAATAATCATAATATAATATATTGTATGTATATATATCTTGTAAGCTGCTTTGTGTCCCCTTCGGGGTGAGAAGGACGGCATATAAATGTTGTAAATAAATAATAAATAAACAAACATTAAAAAATTATATCACAATAAATAAATATACAGGTTAAAATATACAAACTTTAAAACAGAAATAATAATAATTTATGCACTGGAGCATATAGAGAGAATGCTTCCTTGGGCATTTTTAGGTCTGTAGTCAACTTCCAGTGGAAGTCAGCCATAGACCACCCTGGAGGACTTACAAACTCCTAGAGGTGTCTACTCTTGGTTTAAAAAGTCCCACAAACCGCTCTTGTGTAGGAGGAATTAATATGGATGGCTTTGGGGGTATTCCTACCTGTGCTGCCTGGGCGTGTTCCAGCATCTCCTCGAATTCTTGGTATTCCTCGTCATCAGGCTCCTCTCCAGAAAGACGAGCAGCTCTGGCCATGAAGTATGGCGGCAGCTCCCCAATCGCTGTCCCAGCACCCTGGACGCGGAAATGGGATAGAGAAAACAGAGAAAAGAACATAAGAGTTCTGTGTGCCAAGTTTGGTTCGATTCCATTGTTGGTCGGGTTCAGAATGCTCTTTGATTATAGCTGAACTATAAATCCCAGCAACTACAGCTCCCAAAAGTCAAGGTCTGTTTTCCTCAAACTCCACCAGTGTTCACATCTGGACAATTTGCGTATTCGTGCCAAGTTTGGTTCAGATCCATCATTATTTGAGTCCACAGTGCTCTCTGGATGAAGGTGAACTACAACTCCCAAACTCAAGGTCAATGCCCACCAAACCCTTTCGGTATTATCTGTTGGTCATGGGAGTTCTGCTTGCCAAATATGGTTCAAGTCCATTGTTTGGGAGAGTTCAGAATGCTCTTTGATTGGAGGTGAACTATAAATCCCAGCAACGACAGCTCCCAAATGTCAAGGTCTGTTTTCCCCAAACTCCACAATTGCGCATATTGAGGATTTGTGCCAAGTTTATCAAGTTTCATCACTGTTTGAGTCCACCATATGTAGGTGAACTACAACTCCCAAACTCAAGGTCAATGCCCACCAAACCCTTCCGGTATTTTCTGTTCGTCATGGGAGTTCTTTGGGCCAGGTTTGGTTCTATTCCATCATTGGTGGAGTTCAGAATGCTCTTTGATTGTTTGAATCCACAGTGTTATCTGGATGTAAGTGAACTACAAATCCCAAACTCAAGGTCAGTGTCCACCAAACGTTTCTAGTGTTTTCTGTTGGACATGAGAGTACTGTGTGCCAAGTTTGGCTCAATTCCATTGTTGATGGAGTTCAGAATGCTCTTTGGTTGTAGGTGAACTATAAATCCCAGTAACTATAACTCCCAAATGTCAAGGTCTATTTTCACCAAACTCCACCAGTGTTCACATTTGGGCATATTGAGTATCTGTGCCAAATGAATGAAAATACATCCTGCATATCGGATATTTACATTGCGATTCATAACACTAGCAAAATGACAGTGATGAAGGTTGAGAAAATACTGGAAGAGATTGGTGGGCACTGACCTTGAGTTTTGGAGTTGTAGTTCACCTACCTCCAGAGAGCACCGTGGACTCAAACAATGATAGATCTGGACTAAACTTGGCACAAACACTCAATGTGCCCAGATGTGAACACTAGTGGAGTTTGGGGAACATAGACTTTGACATTTGGGAGTTGTAGTTGCTGGGATTTATAGTTCACCTACAACCAAAAGCATTCTGAACTCCACCAGCGATGTAATTGAACCAAACTTGGCACACAGAATTTCCATGACCAAGAGAAAATACTGGAAGGGTTTGGTGGGCACTGACCTTGAGTTTGGGAGTTGTAGTTCACTTACATCCATAGAGCACTGTGGACTCAAACAATGATAGACCTGGACTAAACTTGACACAAACACTCATTAAGTCCAAATGTGAACACTATTAGAGTTTGGGGAAAATAGACCTTGACATTTGGGAGTTGTAGTTGCTGGGATTTATAGTTCACCTACAACCAAAGAGCATTCTGAACTCCACCAACGATGGAATTGAACCAAACTTGGCACACAGAACTCCCATGACCAACACAAAATACTGGAAGGGTTGGTGGACATTCACCTTGGGTTTGGGAGTTGTAGTTCACCTAGATCCACAGATCACTGTAGACTCAAACAATGATAGATCTGGACCAAACTTGGTACGAATACTCAACATGCCCAAATGTGAATTGCACTAGAATATGTATGAGTCAGCATACTTTGGATGTTGTTGTTGTTGTTGTTGTTGTTGTTATTATTATTATTATTATTATTGGACTAGAGAGGGTTTTCTGGAACTAAACCCTGAATCATTGAACTCTGTAAGTCCCAAGTAGAGCTCTGCATTGGCCATCTGGCTAATGAAAGGTTAATGAAAGCGGACGCTTGGCAGGTTACCAAGCGGCAGGAAAGAAAGGTAAGACAATTGGACAGCTGGCGAGAGGAGGGGACAAACCTCGGCCGGCCGCAGGCAGATGGTTTCTGCTCAGGATAAGTGATAAGTGCTTTTATGGGGACGCCCCCTCCTTCCAAGCAACTCTATAGCTGTTTGGTTTCCTTTGTTCCCTCCCTCGGGGCAGCTGCAGGGAAAGAACGGCAGCTGCCTTGAGTAGTTCAGCAAAGCAAACAAAAGTGACCAGGTTGGTTTGAAACTTTAGTTTGACTCAAACGGTCAAAGGGAAACGCACAAACGTCTACGCAACACAGGGATTGTTCTTCCTTGTTCTTGTGCAGATGTGGCACCTGATCAAGGAAGTGGGGTTGCGACAGGTCTTGCATTCGAATTGGATCGCTGGTTTGTAAACTGGGTTTTCAAAGGAGAGCCCAATCAATCACTTTATTTGCTGCTTTGGGTCTCAATTGGGAAAGAAATATAAATATATCAATTGTTTAGTCAAAGTAGATATGTCTGTTTGTACCAACAACAACAACAACCAGTCCCAGTGGTGATTGGTACACTGGGCGCAGTGCCTAAAGACCTTGGCCTGCACTTAAACACAATCAGCACTGACAAAATTACCATCTCTCAACTGCAAAAGGCCACCCTACTTCGGAGAGCTTCTGTTCAACCATTTCAAAGCTCCCTGCTTGAGCAGTGATGGCGCAATCATCAGCATAGATTGTTTCCTCAGAACTCAAGATGCTTGTCTGTTTTTAAGGTAGAAAGCACACGTCTGTGTTTTAAATGGATTAGGAATCAGCTGGTTTTCCCTGTAATCGGCAGTAAGAGCACCTAAAGCTTCAGAGAACTTCTAATCAACCATTTCAAAGCTCCCTGCTTGAGCAGTGATGGTGCAATCGTCAGCATAGATTGTTTCCTCAGAGCTCGAGATGCTTGTCAGTTTTTAAGGTGGAAAGCACACGTCTGCATTTTAAATGGATTAGGAATCAGCTGGTTTTCCCTGTAATTGGCAGTAAGAGCACCTAAAGCTTCAGAGAGTGTCTGTTCAACCATTTCAAAACTCCCAGCTTGAGCAGTGATGGCACAATCGTCAGCATAGATCTTTTCTTCAGAGTTTGAGATGCTTGTCTGTTCTTAAGATGAAAAGCACGTGTCTGCGCTTTAGATGGATTAGGAATCCGAAGGTTTTCTCTGTAATAGGCAGTAAGAGCACCTAAAGTTTTGGAGAGCTTCTATTCCACCATTTCAAAGCTCCCTGCTCGAGCAGTGATGGCAAGATCATCAGCATAGACTGTTTCCTCATAGCTCGAGATGCTTGTCTGTTTTTAAGGTGGAAAGCACACGTATGTGTTTCAAATGGATTAGGAATCAGCTGGTTTTTCCTGTAATTAGCAGTAAGAGCACCTAAAGATTCGGAGAGCTTCTGTTCAATGATTTCAAAGCTCCCTACATGATCAGTGATGGCAAGATCATCAGCATAGACTGTTTCCTCATAGCTCGAGATGCTTGTCTATTCTTAAGATGAAAAGTACACGTCTGTGTTTTAAATGGATTAGGAATCAGCTGGTTTTTCCTGCAAAAAGCAGTAAGAGCAGCTAAAGCTTCAGAGAGTTTCTTTTCAACTATTTCAAAGCTCCCTGCTTGAGCAGTGATGGCAAGATCATCAGCATAGATCGTTTATTCATAGCTTGAGATGCTTATCTGTTTTTAAGGTGGAGAGCACATGTCTGCGTTTTAAATGGATTAGGAATCAGCTGGTTTTCCCTGAAATCGGCAGTAAGAGCACCTAAAAATTCAGAGAGCTTCTGTTCCACCATTTCAAAGCTCCCTGCTTGAGCAGTGATGGCACAATCATCAGCATAGATCATTTCTTCAGAGTTCAAAATGCTTGTCTGTTCTTACGATGAAAAACACATGTCTGCATCTTAGATGGATTAGGAATCTGCTGATGTTCTCTGCAATAGGTAGTAAGAGCACCTAAAGCTTCGGAGAGCTTCTGTTCAACCATTTCAAAGCTCCCTGCTTGAGCAGTGATGGCATGATCATCAGCATAGATTGTTTCCTCAGAGCTCGAGATGCTTGTCTGTTCTAAATGTTAAAAGCACATGCCTGCATTTTAGATGGATTAGGAATCCACTGATTTTCCCTGCAATAGGCAGTAAGAGCACCTAAAGCTTCAAAGAGCTTCTATTCCACCATTTTGAAGCTCCCTGCTTGAGCAGTGATGGCATGATCGTCAGCATACATGAAACTCTTCTCGCAGTGTCCGATCATTTAACACCACAACTCAATTAATAAGTGATCCACAGTCACTTTTTTCATTTATATTTATATTTTAAAATGTAAATTTTTGTCCTCCAATCACATTCTAAAGAAGATTTGGCTACAATGAAGAAGTTTTGCACCCAGAGGACAAAGCAAGGGAATTGGCTTTCAAAAACAGTTACAATAATGTCTTTCATTTCGAGTCATCTTTGTTCTCCAAATGGCTCAACACTGGAATCTGTGGTCTTAGGAAACTAGAAGAAATTGTCAACTATTCACCTTGAAACCGCATTTGTTCTAACGTATGAAGCCAGAGAATCAATCTGTAACGTGCTTGTTTGTTTCTTACCCACATGCAGGCCTCCAGCCTGACTTTCGAGATGATGGTCCACAAGGAAATGGATCCCTCGACTCCCTCTTCATCGGGGCAGATAATTTGGTCAGGATACGGAGGTTCGGGGAAATCCACAGAATTACATTCGTACGCAGCAAGTGTCACGGATGCTATGTGTGGACCCTGTGGAAAGAAAAGGTAAGCGAGCGTTGAACAACTTTCGTCAACCATGTCACGATAGTTCAAACACAATTATATTACAACAAGACATTTATCACTAGTACCAGATCACTTTTGTAACATGTTTCCTGTTCGTTCCAAATAAACCCAGCCACCCCTTCCTGCCCTTTGAATATTGTTATAATGTTGGTACAGTGTTCTCTCACTACTTTGCGGTTCGCTTTTCACAGACTCTGTTGTGGTTCAGTGTGATTCTGGGCCTGAGATGTTCTCTGATGATGAGGATGATGGGATTCAGATTCCTGGCTCTTTTTCTGTGCCTCAGATCCCTGGGCCTGCTTCTGAGGCTCCCACAGACAGTGCAGAGTCAACACAGCGGTTTTCAGAAGAAAAGAATGTTAACAAAGTAGATAGCGAACAGGTAGAGAGGCCTTTGCCTTCCCACGCTGATAGTGAAAGTGCAGAAAGCCTTGATAGTGACCTGACCCGGCAAGCCCGTCTTGATTTGCGGGTCAGGCAGAGTTCTCGCCTGGCCAGCTGACGAGAAGCCAGCTCAGGGAAAGGTCATCGCAATGCTTTCATGTTGGTGAGAGCATAATGTTTGGATGTTAGCAAAAATTATTTATCCTTCTTACAAACAAAGGGAAAGCGTCAGTTCAACGTAGCTTGTTAGCCTGGAAGCTCCATGGAATAACCTTAGCTGGAAAGCAGCACGCTTGGGATTTCTTGCATTGTGATTTTTGGGGTAATTGTTTCATTGCTTGTACCATGGACTCTGTTTTGAACTTTGCCTAAAGGATTGTGCCTCTTGTTTTTACCTGAAGATCTTTGGAACTATATTCTGCATTTAACCTAAATCTTTGGAACTTTGCAATGCTTATTCTTTATTTTGACTTGGATTTTTTCCTCAATAAACTATAAAACTACAGCTCTTGTGTGGTGGTGTTTGGAAGCAAGGTGAAGCTTACTCTGAGTTGCAACAGATAGCGCCTTGTTCATCAATGGTTGCCGTTGCCCAGAGCGGCCTTCTAGTCTCACCTCCTTGCAACGATGGAGTTAAGAAGAGGGTTTCACCCTTGCACTCAGGAGAGAGGCAGCCAATATAGAGAAATTGCAAAGCAAAGCAGAGTCAGCTAGCAAAATAATAATAATAATAATAATAATAATAATAATAATAATAATAATAATAATAATAGAAAAAGGAGACAAAGAAGGGCCTGATTTTGGCAGCCCAAGAACGAGCCATTCGAACCAAGGCCATCAAAGCCAGAATTGAAAAGTCGACGACAGATCTCAAGTGTGGACTCTGCAAGGAAGCAGATGAAACAATCGATCCCATCCTCAGCTGCTGCAAGAAGATCCTGCAGACAGACTCCAAGCAGAGGCACAACACCGTTGCTCAGATGATTCATTGGAACTTGTGACACAAATCCCATCTGCCTGCGACAAAGAACTGGTGGGATCACAAGCCGGAAAGAGTTACAGAGAATGAACACGTCAAAATACTCTGGGACTTCTGGACTCAGACAGACAGAGTTTTGGAGCACAAAACTCCTGACCTCACAAAGTATGGATTGTCAATGTTGCAATCTCAGGTGACAGCAGGATTGAAGAAAAACAACTGGAAAATCTGATACGATATGAGGATTTAAAGATCAAACAGCAAAGACTCTGGCACAAGCAAGTCAGGGGGGTCCCAGTGGTGATAGGCACACAAGGGTGCAGTGCCTCAAGACCTTGGCCTGCACTTAAACACAATCAGTGCTGACAAAATTACCATCTGCCAGCTGCAGAAGGCCACCTTACTGGGCTCTGCATGCATTATTCGCCGATACATCACACAGTCCTAGACACTTGGGAAGTGTCCGACGTGTGATCCAATACAACAGCCAGCAGAGTGTCTGCTGTGGACACATCTTGTTGTGTTTCAAATAATAATAATAATAATAATAATAATAATAATAATAATAATAATAATAAGAAGAAGAAGAAGAAGAAGAAGAAGAAGAAGAAGAAGAACAACAACAACAACAACAACAACAACAACAACAGGGCTCTGGCATAAACCAGTACAGGTGGTCCCAGTAGTCATTGGCGCACTGGGTGTCGTGCCAAAAGATCTCAGCCAGCATTTGGAAACAATAAACATCGACAAAATCACGATCTGTCAACTGCAAAAGGCCACCTGACTTGGATCTGCGCGCATCATTTGAAAATACATCACACAGTCCTAGACGCTTGGGAAGTGTTCGACTTGTGATTTTGTGATATGAAATCCAACATAGAGATCTCGTTTGCTGTGACATACTGTGCTTTTGTGTCAATAAAATAATAATAATAATAATAATAATAATAATAAAGGTGTGCAGTACCTTTAAATCTCTCCTCGCTTCTGCCTCACCCTCGAAATGCGATGTACATATATAGCGTCCCTACTTTGCAGATTTTCACTTTTCGCAGGTGATCCTGGAACGTAACTCCGGCGATAAGTTCTTAATATACAGTGTTCCTTCACTTATCATGGGGGTTCTATTCCAGGACCACCCGCAATAAGTGAAAATCCACAAAGTAGGGACGCTATATTAATTTTAATATTTATACAATTTTTTTATATTTTATATATTATTTTCTTACCCGCACTTTCGTACCCGCCTCCCGCGAACCGCGAAGTAGCGAGGGAACACTGTAATGCCTTTTGGAGATCTGGGCTAAATTCCCAAAAGCCCAGCAGTAGAGGAGTGGCAACGTGAAATGTCCCCCTCCTCAAGATTCCAGCCATTCCTTGCATTCTGCATTCCTGACCAATGACTCTCTGCATTTCATGGCCACTGAGCATGCTCAGTCCTGTCCGGGGGCGGAGTGAACGATCCCTTGTGGCTCTGTAGGCACATGGGTGACCTATGCTTGATCCTTCACCTCTATTGAGTGGGAGGCAAGATCTGAATCTCCTTCAAAATTCAATTTATTGATTTATTTTTATTGATATTCCGCTTTATCTCTCCCTATGGAGACACAAAGCAGCTCACAATCAAAAACATGACATTCTGAAGGGGTTGGGGGACTGACTCCAGAGGATGGAAGTTCTAGTTCATCCTGCATCAAGACACAACACTGGTGATTGCCCTGGGAATCTGGGAGTTGTAGTTCTCACTTATCCAGAGAGTACTGAACCCAACCAGCGACGGATCTGGACCAAACTTGGCACACAGACTCAACATGGCCAACTGTGAATACTGGTCGGGTTTTGGGAAGATTGCCCCTGGAATCTGGGAGTTGTAGTTCACCCTCACCCAGAGGGCACGAAAATCAACTGATAATAGATCTGGACCAAACTTGTCACACAGACTCAGCATGGCCAACTGTGAATGCTGGCTGGGTTTTGGGAAGATTGCCCCTGGAATCTGGGAGTTGTAGTTCACCCTTATCCAGAGGGCATGAAACTCAACCGACAACAGATCTGGACCAAACTTGGCACACAAACTCAACATGGCCAACTGTGAATACTGGCCAGTTGTTGGGAAGATTGCCTCTGGAATCTGGGAGTTGTAGTTCACCTTCTTCCAGAGCATGAAACCCAACTGATAATAGATCTGGACCAAACTTGGCAACAGACGCAACATGGCCAACTGTAAATACAGACGGGGTTTGGGGGTGACTGCCCTTGGAATCTGGGAGTTATAGTTCACCCTCTTCCAGAGGGCATGGAACTGAACTGACAATAGATCTGGACCAAATTTGGCACACAGATTCAACATGGCCAACTGTGAATGCAGGCTGGGTTTTTGGAAGATTGCCCCTGGAATCTGGGAGTTGTAGTTCACCTTCATCCAGACAGCACGAAACTGACAACAGATCTGGACCAAACTTGGCACACAGACTCAACATGACCAATTGTAAATACATGTGGGATTTGGGGGTACCTGCCCTTGGTGTTCACACTTATCCAGAGAGCACTACAGCCAGATGATGACATACCTGGACCAAACTCTCCGCACTGACCAAAATGGCCAACTTTGAATACTGGCAGGGTTTGGGGAGGATTGACCCATGATTCTGGGAATTGTAATTCACCCACACCAAACATCAAATAACCTGGGCATTGCCGGGTCCCCAAGCTAGGAGCCAAATAAAACAAAGTACAACATCCACAAAGAAGGGGTGCCTTCATTGGTTGACTTGAACACATCATGTTCTTTGGATGGGAGCCACAGCACCTCTGCTGTTAATTAGAGGGTGAGAGTTCTGTCATCAGCTTTGCAGGGCTCTTTCTATCCCCCCCCCCCCGAAAATGACTCACCAGGCTGTTCAGACAACAGGGCTGAAGAAAGGATTGGAAGAGGATGGAGGGGTGGAGAGGGAGAGGAAGAGGGTGAGTCACACCTCTAAGCCTACCGTGTATGACAACTTCATACCCCATTTATTTAATCACATAGAGATGATCTTCGATGTCCTCCATGGGGGTCGCAATGACTTTCTGACCATTTTTGGAATATGAGATCATGTTGAGTCACATCATTGGCCCATGTACTGGGACCTCCAGCTTCTAGACCCCAAAACTCAGTCGAGTCACCCCAAACCATTGACAACACTCCCACAACGTACACAAAACTTAAACAAGGCCCAACAAAATCACCAGGAAAACCAACACACTGGTCAAGAACTCCTTGATTCACCTCAACGTATGTTGAGATGGAAGCCTTCACGTCTACGCTTGGAAGCCTTCACTTCTATGCTTTATGGACACCCAAAAATCCATAGCACCCTGCTCAGACCCATTGTGAGTGCCACTGTATCCCCTACAGACAACTTGGCAATATTTCTGACCACACAGCCACAACCCATACTGGGCTAACTACGCACTGCATCCAGGACTTGGCCCACTTCATAGAAAAAACCAACAATCTCAAGCTCAACACCAATGACAAACTGATCAGCTTCAATATGGTGTCTCTATTTACCAAGGTCCAGATAGCAGATATCATCGAACTAATCAACCAGAATTT